AATGGCTCTAACAACGTCACACTGCTTCCTTCTCAGCTAAATAAAGGAAGGCCGAATAGCTACCACGTGACAAAGCAGTATTATTTGAGAGTTTCTAAATGAATAAATCGATGCTGTAAATTACTAACCTTCCAATGCGCTATTTGTAGAAAGAGGCATCAAACTGGACACCACATGTCTCTGAAAGGAGAGCAGAATGATTTTAGACACGTAAAAGCTGAAACCAGGCATCTCTGGGAGACTTTATTAAGTCTATCAAGGTCTCACAAGTCAGTGCTACAGAATTGATGTGTTCATCTCAAAACAGAGACGGAATAAAAACATAGCCAGACCAGAAAACAGGAAAGGCAGAATACTCCTGTTGGTTTTTACAGTGGGTCTATGTTCTGGGCCCTGTTTGTCCAGCTTCAACAGACTGAGCGTCCTCTTTTCATTTGCCAGGAGAACAAGTTGTTATTGGCTCGATTGAGTCCCATGCAGAGAGATTACACACCGTCTGTGTTGACTGAGAGAGAAGATGTTAAGAACCCATGATGGATGTTTACAGACGCGAAATCCAAAGGGCCATAAGTTTGTCTGCCTGTTTTAGAAACATGGGCTTTACTACTCAAACAGATGGAACAAATAGTTTCATGTTCATTTTTTGAAACTCCATAACTATACTCCAAAACAACACTTCAATAAATATCCTCCTCAGTAGGATTTTACAGCAGGTTGTGAGACTCCATGCTCAGCTAATGGAGTCTGTTACATGAGATACAGCGGACCGAGGGACTAATTGACTGCAGGTGTGGGTGGAGGCGCTTTGCCTCCTTTTTTGGGCTACTGGTATTTATAGCATTTTTCACATGAGCTGTTCTGAAAGTGCTGGCCTATTGAGTATATCTTAATGTCTCTCAGGGTACAGCATGTGCCTCATTCAGACCACCAAGGATGTCGACATTTAAGTGCACACGACCCTGAGCAATAAAGCTCATGTGGTGGATTCACAGACATTGAGGTCTCCATCATGTTCTGTAAACACAAGCAGCAACCTCTGACTGTGAACATGTATGTATGAAGTCCACTTCACACAGTCAATGGGTACATATGAAGCTACCACTAAAACCTGATTAGCTTAGCTTAGCACAACGCCTGGAAACAGCTTGCCTTGATGCACCAAACAGGGGTTGCATTCGAATAGTCCATTTAGCTTAGGAACCTTCCTAACGGAGTGAAATGACCCGGAAGTCCCTCAGTGGCAGCCATGATAAGTGCCGTTCGAATTCTCTAAATGAAAGGAAAGGAGGTTTCAAACTTCCTTTATAACCTCCTTTAGCTTAGGAACCACTGGACCTCCCTAACCGAAAGGAGAGGAGAAAATGCTGCCCCACAATGCCTTGCGGCCGCAGCATTTGCCGTCACACAACAGTCGGCCGTTCACGGAAACAACCGATTATGAACGAGAAATGATATCGGTATAAAGTTACGGTGCTTATTAAGCAATTTAAAACGTATGTGGTAAGTTGCCAAAGTGCTTTGTTTTGAACGTTCATCAGTATTATAATCAAAAAGAGAAATATGAACGTTAGTTTTTACTGAAATGATCAAATAAAGTCAACATTTCACAGTCTTTACTGAGCTGTGTGGGGTTTGTTCAACTTTTAAAAGATGTTTGAATGGTGATATACACAGTGATAGATGTTAAGGACTAACGTTTATAATAAATACATTTGTATTGATTTTAAGATCTTTTCATACAATCATACGTATTGGGATCATTTGTATTAATGTGGACCGGAGGGAGAGGGTGACGAGCATAAGTTTCACTTTCCTTTTTTATTTCAATTCCAACTTTGGTCATGAAGAATATGTTTCTCTGTTGTCCCTGTTCATAAAGCATAAAATAACAGCATCAGAGCACGGTGCAGAGTCTCTAGATGAGTTTACAGTAGTCCCTCGTTCTTATTAAACATCCATGTTGTAGTCCGCTGTATAGAAAACTGTAGTTTCCATAGTTTCCCCACAGCAGCAGGCGCACATTTATGACCTCCGCTGGCGCATCATAAACACGTCGGATAGTGAAAGTGCAGTCGGATTCTCTAAAGTGCCGCAGTCTCTTCTCCTAAATCCTTTTGAATTCTCCTATCCACTATCCCTTAACCCCATGACGTTTCACTCCGAGGTCAAGGAATAGACGATAGGGTTAGAACTTAGGAGCTGTTTTTTTGGAGTATTCGAACGCAACCAGGGCCTTCATTCGATTGCTGTCTCTTTGAATTACAAAGATCTATTTACTGTAAAATAGAAGCCGGTTACTAAGTAAAACTTTAAATTCCCTTTTCTACGGATATTAAAAACCCATCAAATTCAATCTAAATGATTTCAATGTTAGGTCCAACACTGACAACGCCTTGGTCATGCCCGAAGAAACCTCTCTGATGAACTATCACAAGTCCTACAAACTGATGACGGATGACGTGGTTAATGATTCCTTTAATGTGATAATAATGCAGCAAGTTCCTCCCTGTGGAAAACTTTCCTTGGACAAAGCTGAAGAATGTTCACTATCCACAAACTCCCTGTGCAGGCTTTGTCAAAAATGTTTAGTCTATAGAATTGTATTTTTCAGTTTGTTTCCCAACACTTACAAGACTTCCTTCCTTCCTGTCTTCTACTATCCTGGGGATTTTACACAATTGAGCCAAACAAACTACTACAGTAACAAGGGTCTTGGACGCATGTTATGACTCACTACTAATTTCCTTCCATGGTAACCATATTATTTAGTTTCAGACACTTGAAAAATGATTCAATACAACATGTTCATGACTGCAGCAATTTAGTTTAGTTTAGTTTTATCTATGAATCTTGGTCTTAAGTTCTGTTTTTTTAATTGTGTGTGAAATATAAGGCGGCAACAAATATTTATATTGGAGTAAAACACTTTCCTCTGATATTAGTATAATTAGGACAAAACATATATATGTATATCACATATACAAATAAAAAAAAAATAACAGCTCATTCCTTCAGATATTTCAATAAAAGAGTTGACATATCTCTAAATGGAAGGTCAAGGGGTCAATGTCCGTAACACTGCCCTCTAGGGCAGTGGTTCTCAACTGGTTAGGCCTCGGGACCCACTTTTTACTTGGTCAATACATCGCGACCCAACATTTTGAAGCACTCAAATCTATTCAACAAAAAATCGTGCTGTAATATATACGCTTTTGAGCATACAATATTAATAAAAGTGAAGTACAGTGCATATATCCCTTATATCCCTTCACAGAACTAAAGTATGCTTTTAAAAAAGGTTTAATGAGATGATGGAATTAAAGCTGAACTATATAAAAAGGCACACATGCTGAAACCCAACCCCAGCAGGGGGGTCTGGGGGGATTTTCCCCCAGGAGATTTTTAGAAATACTAACATAAACTACGCATTCTGGTACACTCTGAGAAGAAAATCGGGCCTTCAAAATAAAAGTTTGACTTTTTCCAAAAAAAAAAAAAAAAAATTCCAATTTTTTTTTTTCAATTTTTTTTCTTCACTCACACATCCGCGACCCACTCGAAACGGGTCCGCGACCCACTTTTGGGTCGCGATCCACCAGTTGAGAACCACTGCTCTAGGGAATAACATGTTAGTACACATCTTAATATACCTGCAATGTACCACTATTATTATAGTTATATTGTGGTACATTATGGCACTACCCAATAAATGAATGAGTCTACTCAAACAATAGCTAGTGTTAAAGCCAATTTGCAAATAGGTTAAACATTTAGAGAAGTGCCTAAATAGAGAGGGAAGTTTATCCCGCCACAAGGTGAAAGACAGTTGTATATAATCCATGACCCACAATTCCTTGGGCCAGGATCCGGGCTGTCTGCTTGAGCTCCTTCCGTAAACAAGATCTGATTTCCAAATTTGACGTATTTGAGGTAACGTTCCCATGCCTCGATTCTAAAATAAAAAAACGTTAAGTGCTTCAGGTTTGGCAAACACAAGCAGAGAAACTGGGAGGAACGCTGAGCCAAAGCGAAGAAATAACAGGGAAAAAGGCAGCCAAAACTAAACCCACTAGAAAAAACTCATTGCTTGTGATTAGTTTGCTATAGAGGTAAGTTGACTTTATTGGTAGTAGACTATTAAACTTAATAACAGGATATGGAGCCATGATTCCTGCCCTGTGCTTGTATTACTTTGGTCTGTGCTGGACCTTTAAACATCGCCCCAATCAGGGATCTGTGGACGCATATTTTGGAGGGGTGAAAGGGAAATCCCTCGTCAGGTTCTGGGGATTACAGTCAGACAGAGAACGAGCCAACCAGATTGCAGGAGGATCAAGACCTACTGTAGGTGGGAAAACATATCAGAGCTGTAGCTGTAAGAGAGATGTTCCTCTAAGACTGCAGAGGAGCAAATCGTGGAAAATGACGGACAAATCTGACCGTCGGTTCGAACTTCATTTGTAACTTAAGAAGGTGCCTTGAAACATTCCAGCTGTCAGCACAATGTTTTCCCACTCCAGACCCACGATGAAGAGAGCTTGGGCTGTTTTTCCTTCCTCCCCGTTTCAGGCCCATTGATTGGGAGTTAATGTAAGACGAACATTGTTACACCCAAAGTGCCGCTCTGACATCCAAAAATCACTAGGAGGGAAATGGGAGTGATTCAGCAGCGCTAGTTCTAACCAAATCTTCTAAAATCATTCACAGCAAGTAATAATCAAATTGCTAATATGCACAAAGCCATCAATAAACAAAGAACGTGTGAACCTTTGTGCATTTAGCAGTTCAACTTGACTTCAGGCCCCTGTGCTGACAAGCATTCAATCATATGAGGTGTCATTGAACAGGCTTTAGTGCCAATGACGTTTTTCCTCCAGTCAGTTTTACATTTGAAATCAATGTTCTCATTAAAAGCCATAATAAGGCTTATATTTGTAACTTTACTGCAAGTGAAAACGTTTTTTTTTTTTCCAACAATGAACACTCGGATGTGAAACTAGTCTCATGAAATCACCACTTTATTTAAATAAAACAAATTAAACAGATTCTTAAAATGACATGCACATGAATGTAATGAAATACAACTTAATGTCAAGCCCATTACTGAAAGTTACTTAGCAACAAGACTAAGTCAAGGGTGTTACAGTCCAATACTAAATTGTAGACGGGTTCACCAGGTTTTTTTGTTAGATTTTGTAGGGCACTACATCCAACATTATTAAAAAGGTGTGGTGTCAGTGAGCCTTGCTGGCGATCCTCTTGGACCTCCTCAGAACAGTGGTCTCCTCCTTCCTGCCCTGGGGGGGAGCTTCCTGTCGGGTCGTGGATGGAGATTCCCGTCGGGTCGTGGATGGAGCTTCCCGTCGGGTCGTGGATGGAGCTTCCCGTCGGGTCGTGGATGGAGCTTCCCGTCGGGTCGTGGATGGAGCTTCCCGTCGGGTCGTGGATGGAGCTTTCTGTCGGGTCGTGGATGGAGATTCCCGTCGGGTCGTGGATGGAGATTCCCGTCGGGTCGTGGATGGAGATTCCCGTCGGGTCGTGGATGGAGCTTTCCGTCGGGTCGTGGATGGAAATTCCCGTCGGGTCGTGGATGGAGATTCCCGTCGGGTCGTGGATGGAGCTTCCCGTCGGGTCGTGGATGGAGCTTCCCGTCGGGTCGTGGATGGAGCTTCCCGTCGGGTCGTGGATGGAGAATCCCGTCGGGTCGTGGATGGAGGTTCCCGTCGGGTCGTGGATGGAGCTTCCCGTCCGGTCGTGGATGGAGCTTCCCGTCCGGTCGTGGATGGAGCTTCCCGTCCGGTCGTGGATGGAGCTTCCTCAGTTTTCACACCACTTTTTGGTTTTGTAGCTGCAGGTTTCTTTCTCTTCCCTCCTACAGACTGCAAAGCCTCTTGGGAACTTGCCTCTTGCTTCTGGACTCTCTTTTGTGGCCCTTTGGATTCTTTAACAGACTTCGTTGGCTTCTCTTTATCGTGTTTCCCACTGTCAGTTTTACCGTCTGCGAGCTTGCTCCTGGATTTAGTTTTGCGGTTTGCTGGTTCTTGAAACGCAACAGCCTTCGGTCTTCCCTTTCCTCGAGTTTTGGCTTGCACTTTAAGATCTTGTGGTTCCTCTTCGACAACTTTATCTGCTTCCATTCCTGCTGCTGCTTCTTCTTGAGTGTTAATCCGGATTTCAAGAGCCTTATACGCTTCCTGTTAAACAAGATATTGTCTTTAAAGAACACTAAATCCACCCACAAAATGTTGTTTATAAGATCAAATCAGATTCTCACCTCTTCTTGTGAAAGTTCACATAGCAGGTTTGACATTTGGCTCATGAATCCATGCACCTTCAGCTGAAATCAGATACAAAAAAAATGTTATCATATAGAAAACACTTAAAATATGTTCACACAAGTTGGAGCCTCTCTTACCTGTTGACTGGCAACATTTATTTCAAGCTGCCCTCTCTCTTTCGCTTCCCTCTTCTTCCTTTGTTTTTAAGCATTACATGTCAGTTTGAGTACCTTTAGAGTTGTGTATGTTTGAGCTATCCAACAAGCACATACATTCACCAGAATAGCAGACACACCTCCATTAAAAAAGGTAATTTAATCAAGCTATTATTTACTTGTTAGCCACCATGTTCCCCATCCGACGGATCTCAATCCGCTTCTCCTCCGTGGCTATTTGGATGGTTTCTTTCGTCACCGTGTCCAGGAAACAATCGAGGTCCAGGTCTGCCAATTGGGCGGATGGTGACGTCATGCTGAGGACCGCCTTCACCCACTCCATGAGGTCTTCACAGGACGGGAGCTGAAGGAAAACAACAGGAGGAATTCAACTTAAAGTTCGCACAAGTGTATGTTTAGAAAACACAATGACATGTGTTCATGTTATTCTGCAGCCTCAGCGGGTTTGTGTTTGAAGCTTTTTATCAAAATGTGAGACTGTAAATGCCAATGGAATGATCTCAAAGGATCCATCATCTTTCACATTTATACACTGTTAAGGGGGGGGGGGGGAGGGGGGGGAAGACATTCTTTGGAAAACAGTGCTATTTTAGGGTCAATATAAAAAGGATTGTAAAAATGCCTTTAGCAGACATAAGCTTGAACATTTGGAGAGAGTTATAGTGATGGTAAAAAAAAAGTCAGATGCGGTACAGGGTCAAATACAGAACTACAAACAATCCAAAGCCTTGGAACTTAGCTTGTTGTCCTCGAAGCTCCAAAGGAACCATTTTCTTTTTATTGCATCTCTGCACGGAAGGACGCGTACATGTTCTTATGGACTAGATTTGATCCTGAATCTAGCTAGTTACAGCTCAGCAGAGAAAAACGCCATTCCTTTTCAAGCTGGTGTAGTTCAATAGAAAGAAAGTAGTTCCTTCCTGAATCTGCTCAAAACAAGCTCTTTGTATTAATCTTGAGTAAGTGGGTCATGACTTTGAAACACGTCTCCGCCCCTCAGTTAACGAACCTGTGTCCTGAATTATTGTATTTTTGTGTCTCCTTTATCCCCTATTTTATACTATTAATATTTACAAACACACCACCCGGCCACACACACAAGAGAATAAGCTTCTCGTCACTCACCGTTAGATCAGCCAGTGCTATCTCCCTGGAAGCTAACGCCAGCTCTAATTGCATCAGTTCTTTACTGACCAACCTCTGCACCTCTTCCAAATCACCCTGAGGACAATCAAAGCAAGAAAACAATTCATCAGCACCTTGGTAGAAATCAAACTATACAACAATGATTGCAATCTGACTGAATAACACGATTCCAATCAACAGCAGGTAGCGAGGAAGCCACACTTACCTGCAGCTGTTTGATAAGTTTATCTTCTTTCATCTTTTCCATAAACTCCAAGTCATTCTGCGTCAGCTGACAGCCCTTCATTCCTTTCAGCATGGGGTTAGGGTCTTCTGGTTCTGAAATGCAATACAAGATCAAACAAGGAAAACATCATCTCAACATTTGACAGATTGTGCCATACAGTATGCCAAATGTTTTCGTACCTGTTTTTGGTGCAATTGCGTTGTAATTGAATATCACATTTTGGTCATTGTCATCTGCCTGTTGGGTAACAGCACAACAGATTAATTTACATGTAGTTCCATAAGATAGTTTGATAAAGAGTGCAGTTAAATAATGTACCTCCATATCCAGCTGGGGCTCCACCTGCTCCTCACTGGAATATTCAGTATACAAATGCAATTCTTGCTTCACACCGGTCATAGGAGGAGTTCTGAAAAGCTGTCTTCCTGCTGCAATATCATTCCACGACTGACGGCTGTCTCTCAGGATTTCAGCAGATCTGTCTGACATGTCTGAGTTTCTCTTCGCTACTTCAAATAAGACTTATAAAGAAACCAGTAAAAAAAACAGCTGCTGGGTCTTTAGGTTTGGTAGAGTACTGCTGTTTCTTCCTCCTCACTCCCTTTAGTTTCAACTAGTGACCTGCAGTGAGTGTGTCTTTATAATCACCGCTTCATTGTTTTCACCTGTGTCTCAGTCTGCTATGTGTTGCTTTGACCAGCAGAGAGCGGCAGATGCTTTTAGTTTTGCAGCACAGGAAGATTTTCTTTATAACTTGAGATATTTCTCATTTGATGTAAGGCCAACAAAGGCAGTACATTCATTTAAACAATGTTTTCAATATTATATTAATAGTGAATAATGACCCCCTGCACTTATACTACAACTCCTAAGCTGCTAACCATTGTATATAGAGCAGAAAGGAACTAGAATGTGATTACAATTGAATGACAAATACATTAAAATTCAAGGACGGTGGTGGAAAGAGTACATTTAGTACAAAAGGTTGCTAAAAACAAGACACGGCAGGCAAAACGGCCAAATGATACTAATGTACTGTAGGAGTTTATCTTACCTTATCTTTGTCTATGAAGAATTATCCTAAATTCCATAAAAAGTTAGAATTAACATTAAGTATATCAATTGTTTATTATATGTTAGAAGCTGCATTTATGACACATTGGAATTCTATAGCAGAAGCTTGTGAGTGTGATTTTCTTTATTAAGGTCATGCTGAGTAAGTTTCACAGACAGACAGGCAGGTGTGCAGACAGACAGATGGACCCGGTACAAAATAGACGGATAGCCAACCAAAAGCGTGTCTATCTTTACACTGAGCTGCCGGTGTCACACTCCAGGAAATCTAGAGGAGAGTGCTGAGTCGTAAATAGCTCTGTTTTTAAACGGCCCGCTCCCATAATGCCGAGGGAGGGAGGAAGAGGTCGAACAGCGTGTGTGCTGTGTGGGATAAACTGGTGCATTATGACACTCACTTGGCAACACAGAGTGGAAAACATTAAGATTGGTTTTACGTTGCAGCGACAAATCATTCCTCAATAAAAATCAGATTTAAAATGTATTTTCTCATCTTCGTCATACCGACCATTCCTCGCTGGTGTAAGTGTCTCTTTCTACCATGAGTGTGTGTTTGCAGGGAGGCAATGTACAGCGGGGGGTACACTGTAACGCTGCTGTCATTCAACACTTGTTGTGTCTTTAAAGCAGAAGTGAAGAAAGACAAGATACCTTTTTAAAAATGTACTGTATCACTTTTTTTGTGTTCATTTCTATTTGTTTGTTTATCCATTTGTACAAGAGAGAGAGGGAGAGAATAAATACCAATGCAAAAAGTAAATGACCCCCAAACCCCATTTGCAGTACAGGCTGTACAAACAGACTTCCAATGACATCCTCCCAGACATCGACCATCACACACTCTCAGCACACAGCATGTAACACATCCACAGTCCTCTGAAAGCTCTCCTGTCCTAAAGGCCATTTACAGCTGCTCAGACATGTAGCGTATTGGGCAGGCAGAGCAAAGGGGTCGTAAAGGGACGGATAAAACAGCACCCTGGAGCCTTGGGATGTGAGACAGGGACAGTGTGGACAGAGACAGGTGTCCTGACTTACTGAGAGACTTATGGAACATGGGTTAGTTAGTGCCACTGCTCGGAGATAGACAGAGAGCTGTTTGTCCCGGGAAACAAAATAATAATGTCATTTAATACAGCTCAATACCAAGAGCTGGCGTTGGACTGATGAAAGTGTTGGGGCTCCAGGACAACTGCTGATTGGACCAACACTTTCAACTAAATTAATCTGATGTAGATCCATTTTGGAGGGTCAAAGTATTTGGTTTTAATTGACACAAAATAGTGCAGGCTAATGTACCATATAGCCTTCTAACTTCAATATGGAAGCCCAAAATGGCCGTGTTTCAATCATTTCAAGTCTTCTGTTTTCCTGTGATAGGAAGTTATTTGTCTTTGCTACACAACACCACAAGCTATAAACTTTAAATAACCAATGTTTTTCTTTTCCTCAGATAACAAGATATAGTGCAAGGCCTTTTATGAAACAGTGTTTTTTTTCTCTTGATGTCAAAAATGAATTTGATCTCCTGTTTCAGTTAGCCAACATTACATAGTTTCGATATTTTAACAAACTATATATGACTGAATATGGAAGTGAATGAAAAGAATGAGAGTAACGGGATACGCACATGTGCACACACGTTTTCCGAATCATAAAAACACACGCACACATGAGCCTCGGGCGATGAGAGGCGGCTAGTTGGACACTTCAGGGCCTGAACTTTCTGTCGTGCGTCTCTCAGAGCTGTCAGTGCGGTTAATTTTGTGATGTTTGTGATTAGTGACCAGTGTGAGGTTACAGCATTACTCAGATCAGCCTGGACCTAGCCCTGTGAAATGTCTGGACTCAAATACAATGAAATACATGTGTGGTCAATCTCCCTTCTCCCAAACCAATGTTCCCACACATTGTCCTGCAAACAAAGCCTCATGTTGCTCTATGAGCTTTTACATGTATGTTTGAATGCATTATGTTTCCGTTAATACATACTTACAATATTTCACGTAGCTTTTTAAATGCTTGCCATAGCTGCTAATGAAATGTATCACCATGGTGTAAACATTATCCAGAGGAATGCCAGCTATGTATGCTCGTATATTATAAAAATACAAAGACATGTAATAGTTTGCACCCAGACAATGATTGCAAAGCAGTATATTATACTTAAGCAATAGCTCACGACAGGCCGTGGTATATGCTCATTATATCACAGCTAAGGGGCGTGGTTCGGCCCGACGCGAAGCGGAGGGTCGACAACCCCCTTAGCTGTGATATAATGAGCATATATCACGGCCTGAAATGAGCTATTGCTTTTATAAAACGGTTACCAAGTGTGGCAATATGAAAGACAAATACACACTCTAATTTAAATAGTTTTTATTAGTAAATAATGATGTTCAAAATAAAATAGTCCCTCTGTTGCCTTCTGCACGAAACATAGTGCGAGGTGGTTGCTATGCAACAACACTAACAACAGCTAGCGAACATATTAGACAGAGAGCGTTGATCCATTATTTGGCTATTTATTTACATTAATGTGTATGTTGCCGTTTATTGTGCACCCACTGAAAAACTGTGCAGCATCAGTAGCATGGCTTACGTGGTTACTTGTATAGGCTGAGGTTGTTCTAGGCTGTTGCTTGGCGTGGCGAGAATATTGCTCCACTTTCTCCGGTCCCCGAGATTCGGCTTCCAGTAGCTCTGGAGAGAGCTTTCGCACCTGTGGCCACTAACGGTCATAATTTCTCTGCTTTGTTTCAAGACCCGCATCAGAAAGGTTTTGAATGGTGGTACTTTTCCAGTTGGTCTACCTGCTCTTCACGTAGCTCTACATGTCGTCGTTTAGGTGCTTTTTGTTCTGGAGATAGGCACTCCTCAATCCACTCCTCCATAGTAAGACCCCCCCCCCCCCCGGAGGTCGAAGTTAATCTTAAATGTTTTTGCGGACCTTTTTGATTACAGATTTGAAAACATCGTTGCTTGCTTTAAAAGTAGCACAATTCATTATGTCAAACGTTGGAAAGTATCTAAATATCCCTGCCCTAATGCAAAAGGAACTGCACACTGAATATTTTTTTGCCGTTTGATGTCTATGTCTGGACCGTTGCGTAAAAAGGAGGGTTTCTGCCCTGTTACTTCTCCGCTGCTTTCTTGTTCCAGTTTGAAACTGTATACTGTTTATCTCAGACGCGGAGGGATACTGAGTTGTTGTGAAAAGTAACTTACAATTCTACCCGTGGTATACGCTCAGTATATACGCTCAGTATACCACGGCTAAGAACCAATCAGATTGCTTGATTTTACTTGTCCGTTTTATAATTAAAAACAACCAACATGTGATTTCTCATTAAACACACAATATGTAATTGTCTGCCTCTAGGGGTCCCTAAATCAAAGCTATGGAGTTTTGAAGTGTGGGGAAGTCCCGTGGCATCATGGGAGTTGTTGTTTTCACCCAGCAGGATTACGTCAGTGTTCATTGTGCAGGAGATTTCAAACGGGGGATCAATAAAGTACTATCTTATCTTATCCACAGAGGTCTCCTCCTCTCTGAAAAAAATTGACGTGGTGATTCAAAAGTAAAATTGTAAAACAGTTTCACATTGAAAGTAAGTAAGACTCTTCCCCACACTTCTTGTACCAGAAAAGTGCTCCTCCATTATTAATAATGATAATAATAATACATTTAATTTTTATAGCACTTTTCCTGGTGCTCAAAGACGCTTATTGTTCATTTTAGGAGCTCTAGTAATTGTGATTATATTATATTATATTGTCTTATATCTTTCCTGGAATCTCCTGTTATTATCAAAGGAAGATGCACATCCAGCATTGACGTTGCATTGTAGCCTATAGTGTACATGGTTAAGTACTTGCTGTAATAGATATACAGGCTATAATCATGATAGAATAACAAGGATTGACAAATATGTGCCACTGAGTGCCAAGAGTGAAGGTGTCAGGATAAAACCCTGCATACTCTCAGCTCTCTGCGGCCTATTATTATCTCTTCCTAGTGTTTAGTTGCATACACACATATATAATTAGATATACATGTATATCTATACATATATATATATATCTATATATAGTTTTGCAAACTCTTGTCCAAAAGGGGTTTCTGTTACATTTTCTTTGTACTTAAAATTAGCAAAAATCCCAAATGTTTCTTGGTCATATATAACAACAAACTGAATTTGGTCATATACGACACATCAAATGTTCTATTAGTTGAGTTTAAAATGTGTAAAGGAGTGTTTGCTTAATGACCACACACGCACGCACGCACGCACGCATTATGGGTGGTAGAGGCACCCAATTTGACAGTGAAGAGGCAAATGTCTCTGGTTCTGTTTTGTTTTAAACTGTCCATCGTGATGTTGACGATGATCCCATGCTAAATTGTTATAGTACTCTTTTTTATATCAAGAAAAATCCACGAAGACCAAGAACATAACCTTGATGCGTCCCTTAGAAAATCACATGAATCTCATGTTAGCTGGTTTATTACGTTTTTCAATCTCTGCTCTTTCTCACTATCTAAATCTTCCCGCTTCTTATGGGTGTTTACTCTTTTAGTTAAACCAACCAGATTGTGCCTCCATCAGCCAATCATGTCGCTGCTGTCAAACTCTGCTCCTGTCAGCTGCCATTCATCGTCACACCCCTCCTTAACCCTATTCACCTTCTCTGGTCACTACACACTGCCCATGTTGGGCTCACCAGAAGTCCTCATCACATCCAGATCTTCAGCATTCTTTTCTTCTCAGTACCACCACCACTCATGTCTACTCTCCATTTCATAGGGGGGTTTCATAGGGGGGGGGTTTACCTATTCTACTCACAACTTCACGACCCTCTTGAAATTTGACGTCACGATGGGGTGTAATCGTCAAAGTCTATTCCCAGATCTCATAAATTCTCACAAATATATAAATACTCACTCAGTCTCTCCTGATTTAAATAATATATCACTTGACATAAAATCACAACGTTTTAGTGCCATTTTTCAATATATTTCCTCACTGACGACGATACTAAAATATCCAAATTCCTGTCCAAATATTGCCACCCCACCCCCTGCTCTCTCTCTCTTCCTCTCAGGGACAGTAACGGACTCCTCGGGGCTCAGTCTTCTGTCAAGGGCCATATGGTTCCGTCACAGCTCTGTGTGTGCTGACGTCCAAGTGTGTGTGTGTGTGTGTGTGTGTGTGTGTGAGTGTGTGTGTGTGTGTGTGTGTGTGTGTGTGTGTGTGCTGCAGAGGGAGGGCAGCAGAGTGGCTCAAGGTGTCAGAAGGGAGGGCGGTTTAAATTTAACTGCAAGCAGGGCTGATATCTGCATGGCAGGTCGTGTCTCCCTGCGCTCTTTCTCACACACACACACACACAAACACACACAGTCTGTCGTCACGGTCCCCAGCCTCACACACATACACACACACACACACACACACAAAGCAGCTCGATCATTCAGTCAGGACACGCTCCTTTTCCTCCTCTTCTTCTCTCATACCTCATCAGACCACCTGGATTGTACCAAAGGGCCAGCTGAGGACGCGCCGCAGGAGAGGAAAAGCGTTTTGGGAGCAGAGCAAACATTCAGGATAACGCTTCATCTGAGCCGGCAGGCTGAAGGCACGGCCAGTGGCACTGCAGAGGCACAGCAGCACAGTGGGCTAAAGCGTCGCTGTGAGAGGTAAGACTGGAGCTGGGCTGCGAGAGGTTGTGTGTGACAGGGGATGTGTGTGTGTGTGCATGCCCTGACAAACGCCTGTATTCATCTCTTTCAGTTTGAGGGAAATATGCAAATGCAAAAAGGTTCCTTTCTGTGTGTTGAGGGTTAGTCAGCACTATGAGTATCACCCACAAATCTATCTTGAATGCTAATTTATATGTGCTATATGTTTGGAAATATTATAAGCCAGGGGTTATCAATTATACATGCTTTTCATTAATAATGCATTTTAAAACTTTTCTGGATTTTATACTATTCTGTTTTCTGCAGCCCACTATCAACAATTTCTGAATTGAGATGTCTAATTTAAGTTGATAGACTAGGCTCTAAGTGAGCGGAAAGTAATCTGCATTGTGGCAGCTTTTCTGCAAGATTGCTGCTAATCAGACAGATATAGAGATTAGATGCTAGAACAAAGACTCCAGGAGGCTCTGGGGGTCACAGGGAATGTCTGCTGATCCTAATCTAACTGGAGTGAATTTGCTTTAATTGGGTTTCATTTATTTGTCAGGGAGACAGAAGACCTAATCAACACAGTTATTTGGTCTCACATGACGCTGTGTATTGTTTTTGAAAAACATGCATTTGAGCTCAAAGTCAAACTTTGCAGACTTACAGTAAATCACCTACGCTTCTCAATAGAATCTGCTGACCGGGGTTAAACATGATACGGCCCTGGCGGCAGTAACGGACCCCGTGGTCAAACTGCCCACCACTTCAAAGCTGCGGTGATAATTCATGCGCTCCTGTGCAGTGATACTGTCTTGAGTGGACCTGGTGTTGCACGACGGGTAGTATTGGTTGCAGCCAGGGAATTTCCAAAGGGCAGCGTGTCCATGAGCAGCAGTGTCATACAGTTCCTACAGGCAGGGAGGGAGGAGGTCAAGTTACCAGGCCTCAGTTTGGCAACGTCCTAACGGGGGTGTAACAGTCAAATGTCAGGCCAATGAAGCATTTTGACTTGACTTTAATTGTAAAACTCAGACAGTATTCATTTCCATTTTTCCAAAGATATAATTACACGCTCCGACAGGAAGTGCTGCGCTGACATTGATGATGTGTTGGTATGTAGTGGTCAGCAAAGTAAAAAAGAGATGTTACCAAGAAAAAGGATTAGCACAGCTCCCACCTATCATCGGCATGCAGCAAGGTTTGCAGTTACTCACAGGTTATGAATAAATTGAGCTTACAGTGGCATTAATAGGGACATAGAGCTGCCATTTGCTACCTTTTCTACTGACATGTACTAGACTACAATAAACATTAAAGGAACCAACAGGTGTTTTAGCATTCCTCCCACAAACCTCCCTCTTGTGAGTAAATATTTGGGCTGACAGAAGGTCCCCCAGCACGCTCCAGATGCAGCTTTAAAAGGCTTGGGGTTTGGCATGCGACTACAAGTGACAGGTTAATCCGTTTAAGTACGTACGATAGCGGGGCGGGGGGGACGCAGCCTTCTGGTGAGGCTAATCTGCCGTAAACCAACAACAAGGCAGCCGACCAACGGATTGATCAGCAAGTTTAAGGGGAATGGCCTAGGGTCATATGAGTTGAAGTACTTTGTATGAATTCATCCATATCAGGGCTGCCCAAAGTTGAGCCACGAGGGTGGGTTTGGCTTACTAGATGTTTAAGCAGGTCAAGAAATATCAATAATAAATCAAATAAATAAATAATATAAGTTGCTTTAAGGGAAATTGGTGTCCGATTGCCATTTTGTATCTTAACAATACAATAAGACACAATATATGTTTTCTCATATGCTCATTGCACACCTTTTAGATTGAGTCTTTGGCCATAACAACAGTGGATAAACATGGCGGGAATGCACTAGTATCTCACAAAATTATTTCTCGATGAACAAATCTGACGAATAGCATGCGATGTTAGACATTGCATAGCGTAAAAACAATGCATTATATGAAATATCTTTAGATGATCTGCAACAGAACCCCTTGCTGTAAACTCCTTTTGGTTTCTTTCAGAGTGATTGACAGTTTGAGGGTAGTGGGGCAGGGATCATTAGACGAGACACGGTTTAATAAACCTCTTGGCACCTTGAGCTTCACCAGCTGTAGGTTGGATTAGAAGGTCTGGCTGCAGAGGCTTTATTAAATGCGTTTGATTCATCAATGGGGAGAGCTCAGCGGTGTGTGTGTGTGTGTGTGTGTGTGTGTGTGTGTGTGTGTGTGTGTGTGTGTGTGTGTGTGTGTGTGTGTGTGTGTGTGTGTCAAGCTGGCACGAGAACGTGTGTCTGAAGGAATCAAACGTCTCCTTAATTAGCCCTTAGAAAACAGATCCTCCTGGTTTTTTGTGTATTACTTTTAAGTAAATCACTGAAAATGAAAGAACTGAATTTAGAGGGGAACGTTGCTCATAGGTAAGGCTTTGAATTTGGATTAACATAACTTTCTCACAGTTCCTTGTTCTCACATTGAAATCATATCAGCCAGAGACATGCTTCACAACAGATAAACGTCACATGATATCAGGGGACGCTTGGTGAGAAGTTCATGGGTCGTAACTGTCATCCTGCGGTGGCTGCTCGTAATAACCAAAGGCCTGCTGAAGTGTCCTTGAGCACACATTAAAGCTCTGTGCTGGGGTGCCAAGGGAAAAGTCCACAGGAATACATAAAGTGTCATGTTACATATTTGGATCAGGGTAAAGTGAAACTTGAATCAGGGTAATCAGAATCCCCGATTGGTCTTTCCCTGGGCTAGTGTGATCAGTGGTTGAGGTGACCCATGACAGATTAATACATTATTTTATATGTATTTTTAGTTATATTATAAGTTTTGGTTGTTAAATCAAAAAAGTTGCCAATGTATAAGATTTCACTTTTGAAACTAGTAGTGTTCGCGCATATACTGAAAGTTCTACCTCTTTTCTTGAGATTGTGATGAGAGCATTGATGTGTTGAGTGAATGGTTTTGAAGAGTTAAAGAAAATGTATGTACAGTACAATTTATGAAAGAATAGAAATGTCTCATGATGCGCATTCTGCTGCAAAACAAGCAAACGTTGTGTCTTCATTGTGATGTTTTTTTGATGATGCGTTGTGGGGTCGATCAGTCCAGCATGTTGACAACATGGCGTTTGGCTGAGGGACCACTGACTTGTTTCAGTGCTAGGATCCTGTTTCTCTCACAGAATACCATGCGCTCGCAGCTCTGGGAAAACAGCACTATATATACCAGGAGAGTGGCGCAATGTTGTCCCACATTAGTCTCTTTTATGTCTCACAGCTTGATCCGCAGCCTACTGCTGTCAAGTGAAGTCAAAATAAGTCCGTGGAAATCCGTTTGTACAGCGGGGTGGGCTTTGAAAGATCAGCTGGAGGGTGCTTTCACAGAACGTGCTCCCATGAGAGCAAGTGAAGACAAGCAGACGAGGCTGAGGGGTATGACTATATAAAGGGAAAAGTCTGTATTAGGAAGAAGCTCTGGTAGCAGCAGGTAGATTCTCATTTAGCCAATTAGTCTGTCTGTTCCCATAGACTGAGATACATCCTACCTCTTCCACATGATCCATCTATGTCTGTTTTTCCGTGAAGCAGGAAATACACATTTTTGTTTATAAAGAAGGTTCGGGGCGGGGGTAAATATCTTTGGAGGAATAGATGGCTATTCAAGAAAGGTGAGACTTTATACTGTCAAAAAGTAACAACTGCAAAATGTTGCTAAACAAGAGTGGTGTTTTTTAATTTTTGTAATGGTTTTACCCACGAGACGGCTGTTCCTGGATAACTATTGTTGACAAAATGACGACTTGAATTTGAATTGTAGACAATTTGGTTTTCAAAGCATGCAAGGAGCTGATGCTGACTCGAAATTTGAAAGAATTTGCATATGAAAATTCAGCATCATTTTTTTCATAAGAAATCATACAAACTGTTTTAATGACGTTGCATTTAAAAAAAAATATATATAACCGCATACATTTCTTGAATATATGTGCCGTCTTCACGTCAAAAAATTCAGAGTCAGCTCAAATGCTTCAGTCAAGATGTGGACAGAATTCCATCTTCTTTACAGTATGTTGCATTTTATTGCTGACACCTTACTTCAGCAAAGTGTCTTCCCCATGTGCATCACTAACTCACAGCTTAACTCCAGGTGCATGAATAATTCACACACATATCTTATAGCCGTTTGCTGCAGCAGTCACCGCTCACTATCTATAGGGAGGCGTGTGGCGCAGTGGAGTAGTGCGTTGGTGTTCGGATCAGGGGAGCACAGGTTCAAACCCCACTGCAGTCAGCATGTTGTTGTTTCCCTGGGCAAGACACTTCACCCCAAATTGCTCCTGTGGGGATTGTCCACAGTATTGAGTATGTAAACAAAACAGGTAGAGGGCTGGTGAATTCAGTCTAACACAAATGAAATGCAGATGGAAGAATAAGTAAGACTACAATGTTTCTGAACAGATAATGTGCTAATAGTCAAGGTATGTCTTTTCATTTCCTGAATGCTATCAATTTACGTCATCCACATTGTTTGGATTTGCCAGTGCGTCACCACCATTACTTTATTTAGTGTCTATGTTAAATATACAACAAGGGCCCACTCTAACGTCAGCTGGTTGATGGGGCCAATGCTTTCCATGATGCAGCAGAAATGGTCAGGGCCATGTGGAAAAAAATCATTCAGGACCTGATGATTTAAAAAAAGGCTATTCAAGTGCAGTACTGGGAAGTTGGTGACGTGGAGTGTAGGTGTCCTGGTGAAAGTCAATGGTAAAAAAGTATTTTTGGGCCCGATGGCATTACGTGATGGCCCCAAAGTCGATATTCCACTATTTGTCCACCATGTCAAGTAGGGGGCTACCATGGCTCTGTTGAAAGGTAACACAATCTGCTCACCGGCATCTCTAAAGCTCACTTATTAACACGCAGTTTTATCTGTCAGATTATTCTTGGCTGGTTCTGTAACATCCTGAGATGGTAACTATGACCTCAT